TTGAGTGATGAGTCCCATGGTGCCAGCAGCAGCAGGCACTTTACTGCCCCTCATCTTACAGTGCTGAGATTTGTTCCTGCCTCCTACATCAGTGGTTCTCACCTTCCCTCGTGCTACAACCCCTAAATATGGTTCCTCATGCTGTGCTGACCCCCAAACGCAAAATTATTTTCCTTGCTACTTCATAACTGTAATTTTGCTACGGTTATGAATTGTAAGGTAAATGTTTTGAAGACAGAGGTTTGCCAAAGAGGTCGCGACCCATAGGTTGAGAACCACTGTGCTAGACAGCTCGTTGGATTCTCTAGGACTTTTCTTTATCTCCTCATTTTCTATGAGTCCGTTGGTTCCCCCACCCCCATTCCGGGTCTGATTTCCCTGCCAGAGCTGTTTTGTGTGGGGATTGATAACCCGAATTACACACTCTTGTCCCAAACTTTGAATGTGCTTAGATCTTTTGGGTATAGAAGTTCAGAACTCTGGATGCAGGCCTAGCGTCTCACCTTCTGTGTTAGGAATGCACAGAGCCTCTGGGACATGGCAGTGCTGACTGCGTCTCTCAAGATCTGTTTCTTCACGCCCAACTCTCACCGTGCTCTTTCTGAACTACCTCTGTATGCTTAGTCTTACTCTGTAGCTGAGTGTCCCAGAGCTGCTCTGCCTCCTGAGACACACACACACACACACCTACCTCCCCCCCCCTCACCGTCCTCACTCACCTTGACTCTTCTTTAATGGAGGAAAAGATCAAATACGACCTTCCTGGACTTTCCCTGTTTCCTGTTGAAGAACCCACATAAGCCTTTACTATCCAGCCCTCTCTTTCCCTCACCCTTGCTGGAGGCTCACAAATTCAGGCAGCCCAACTCAAGGCCAGCCCCTCTCCCAGCTCTTCATCCCAACCCCCCCAACTTTCTCGTTCTTTATATCTGTGTAGCACTACCAACCCCTTTTCTCTGCTTGCCTACGTGGATAGCCGGACAACATGCTCCCGTCCATCCCCTCGACTCCATCCCTATGCTGGTTTGAACTCCTCTGGGAAGCTCTCGCTTCAGCCTTTTCGTTCATTTCTACTCTTGGTTCTTTTCATCTCAGTGAGCCATCCTCATTTCCCATGGCGCTGAAATGGGCAGAGCTAAAGTCAATTCAAGATTCCGCTTTCTTTGACATCTGTGACCTTATGGCCTGTGTATCTGATTTTGTTTTAGTCCTTTATGGCCACCTTTTAAACACTGGTGCTCCCACGGATTCCACCCCAGCCACTGCTGTTAACTGTCACCTATGTGTAAAGTGAGGACTTTCTAGTCTGTAGGTTCGGCTTTAGCTCCTCCCCTTTTCTCCATAAGATCATCCTATATGTGTCTTCTACAAGTACCTCAAATTCAACATGGCCTTGAATGAATTCACCAACACCCCACTTTCTAAAATTTGGTCTCCTTTCTCTGTTCTTTTTGAATTTTACAATGGTTGGCTCTGAAAGACGGTGGAGGCAAGCATTGCGAAACCTTTCTAAAACACCATAAACAAATCTCTATCTGTTCTAGTAGCCACGATAAACTATAAAACAAGACAGATGAGTTAATTGGAAATAGAGTTTATGTAACCTAATTCATGTAATGTCATTTATTTATAAGTATTTAAATGCTAACCAGGTATTTTCAATTCTTTTTGGAATTTAGAGTGCATTTTGCTATCATGTGCCTCAATTCAAACTAAGCACCGGAACTGGAATCTTGTCTGTTGCTAATGATTATGGGCTGCTCATCAACAACCAACCTCACAGATTCTCCTTCATCCAGCCACAAGTCCACAAGTCCTGTTCATTTTGCTCCCTAGATATTTCTCCAGCAGACTAAGTTCTTTTCCTTTTCACATCCTGACTTTAATTTTCACACTAGTTATTTCTCACTTGTATCATTGCAGTGGCTTATAAAGCCACTGTAATAGTCCTTGTGGGACAGGCCTTTCACCAGACTGTTTAGGACCAGGGCAGGAAGCTCACAATTGCAAGGGCTAGCTTGTCTGCAGAGTGAGTTCAAGGCTAGCTTGGCAGTTTATTGGGACTTGTTTCAAAATAAAAACTAAGAACAAGGCTAAGACTATGGGTTATTAGTGTAGCTCTTTCTTAGCTTGTAAAAGGCCTTTAGAAAAATGAATAAACGAATAAACCAAATGTGCTCTCTCTGTTCAAGGGAACATGCTGGATCCATTGGAATATTCGATAGAGTGGAGTATCTACTCATACGTATCTAGGAGAGAAGAAAACAGCTCATATTTATTAACATTTCTTTTTTTTTTTTTTTTTTTTTTTTTTTTTTTTTTTTTTTTTTTTTTTTNGACAGGGTTTCTCTGTAGTTTTGGAGCCTGTCCTGCAACTAGCTCTTGTAGACCAGGCTGGTCTCGAACTCACAGAGATCCGCCTGCCTCTGCCTCCCGAGTGCTGGGATTAAAGGCGTGCGCCACCACCGCCCGGCTTATTAACATTTCTTACACACATTGAAGTCAACTTCCTTGAATTTGGTATCCAAGAGGTAGCAGTAAAGCTATCAGTATTAGGTTGTTGATAAATATCTCACACAAAGTGTTTGAGACAGTTAAAAATGTTTCTCATTGCTACATCACAGTCTCAAATTTATTTTTAAGTACTTTTGATACAATACAATTGGTGAATACAATAGACATTTACTTAAGAGACCAGAGAACAAATTAAATTACAGGCATTAGTTCTCTCCTTATACCAGTCGTCTGGAAGCAAGTGCCTTTACCCACTGGGGCCATCTGGCCAGTCTAAGAATTTAAGACTAAGTATACTTATATCAGGTATATATAAGATATATAAGAGATATTTTACTATCTCACTTTTCTGGAAATATAAGAAATATATAGATATATATTTCCAGAAAAGTGAGATAGTAAAATCTAGCATCCCACTTCAGTTTCAGCCCACCTCTTTTCCCAGTCTTCAGTTTTTCTTTTTAAAAGAATTTCAGAGAGAGAGAGAGAGAGAGAGAGAGAGAGAGAGAGAGAGAGAGAATATGCACATGAGAGCCCTGCCATACATTAATCTTTTCTTTTTTTAGTCTTCTACAGAATACAAATGACACTGTGTCATTGTACTAGGGCCTAAAATTCATCCAAGTATTTCAATTTATTCAGTATCTTTGGATATAGAACTCTCCCAGGTCTACAACAACAAATTACTACTTTACCTACTTATACAGCAGGCTGTCTGCAACCGCTGGGCCATAAATTTCCTTCCATGAATGCTTTTTTCTTTAAAGAATTTTTTTAAAGTTTAAAATGAACATGGTACAATGATTCCATTGTGTCTTTAGGGGTCTTATAATTCGGCAGGAAAAGCAGCTCCAGAAATGTGTACTTTTTAAAAAATCATATAGTAAAAGATGCTTACCAACAAAAGGAGTTTGAGGAGGGTGTGATAGACTTGCCCAGAGAAGAAGGTGCTGAATTAGGACCTGGAAGGTGGTTCGGAAATGAGGTCACTTAGTTTGTCAGATTTTTAAATCTGTTTTCCTGAAACCCCGCCATGTTCTTTTGCTCTAAGGAAGACAGAGTTTTAATTTTATGTGCTGTATGGGTACATTCCATAGCCTTCAAACTGCAGTATGAAGAAGGATCCCCTGGGTAATATAGTAAAATATAGGTCCCTGGACTCAGTGTGCGTGTGTTCTGATTTACTCAGAGAATTCCTAGCCTAGGACTTGGTGCGTTTTAGAAAGCACTTGAATGACCCCCTTGTATCTGGTAGGAATTGTTCTTGGAGGTACATTGCCATCTTCTTTCTATAAGAAAGTGTAAGGAGGTGTTAAAAAACGACCTTGGTCTGGGCCCAGGAGGGATGCTCTTTGTAAACTCAACAAGGCCTTGAGGAAGGGGAATGGACAGTGGGGATGCTGAAAAGGAATCGTGGATGGCCTGGGCTGTAAACATGGAGAGAATTTTGAAAAAGCAGCAGTGAGAGCTTTGGTGTATTTCATGATTTTCTTATGGCCTTTCTTAAACTTCAACAGAAAATTTGATAGAAATATAGAATCTAATTATTAGAGCATTTTCATCTACCTTCAGAAACCAGTAGTCATCCAACAAGAAAGTAAAAAATATTTATAATGTCTAGGACAGTGAATGTTTTTAAAATAGGATATATTTTAAACTTTAGGAAAATGTAGAATTTCTTGTAGAACTGCACTTCCGGTTCTGAGATAATAAAGCATAGAGAATATGGGAACCTATTCCATGTGTGGAATATGTTAACTTTATAACCACTGTGAGGAAAAATGCATTTTTTCCTTACATGCCACTTTTAAGTTCTGTCAAACTTGTCACCCGGTTGTTAATATTGTAGAATTTGAAAATGACTGAGTGATTTTTCTGAGATGCTGCATATTTTACTCTATGGTAAATAACAACCAGAAGGGGGTGGATAAATCAAGGCCATTCATAGGCCCCACACTAAAATGTTCATGATTTCAGCTTTCTCCCTCGGTCAGATCTAATTGGATTGCTGGAGTTTCTGGGCTTTATTTTTGCCATTTGCTGATGAGTGTTTGCCGCAAGTTTTAATGAACTTTAAACCAGGCAGACAAATAGGCCAGTAGCCTGGAAAGAGAGATGGAGCGGTAGGCATGGGAAGTCTATCCAATCAATCAGCAAAACATGTTTTAATTGTAGCAGCACTGCCATAAATAGGCCGGCACAGCCATTCAGGCTGCTTCATTCTTGTCTGCTTCAGTCTGCTGTGCTCTGCCATCCGCATGAGCCCGAGATTTTTGTTTGGGTCACCAATGGACAAGACCTCCCACTGGCCATCTGAATTTTGGAAGATGTACTTTCTTCAATAGCTCATGGGAGGCTGAGTGTGTGTGTGGGGGGGGGGGTGGGCAAGGCTGTTCTTATGCAATTTATATTGTTTAGTTCGCCTGAGACTTGTGCTCTCCATTTGCTTCCTCTCAATGGTTCTGCTGATGTCTGCTTTCTTGCAGGTGATTCGCAAGGGCTGGCTGACTGTCAGCAACATCGGCATCATGAAGGGAGGCTCGAAGGGCTACTGGTTCGTCCTCACTGCAGAAAGCCTGTGCTGGTACAAAGACGATGAGGTAAGCCACAGTGACAGTTCCTTTAAATGTTTCTAATGTGAAATTGACTGAGGCTATTGCCGTGCACAGCTCCGGACACTGGTATCTCTTTTGCAGTGAGATCTGTCTATAAATGTTGTTTTAAAAAAGCCCTGCTTTTCTTTCTTTTTCAAATTACGGATCTTTAGTTTTACAATGTTCCCATTGAACTTCCTTTCCTGGTTATTTCTTTCATATAGTCCAATTTTGCTGGCCTGGAGAAGTTAATATCAAGACATTGGTGTAGCCAAAGCACTGTTCATTGAATAACATGTTGAAAAGACATAAGGCCATAGAGGTGAAATGCATGAGGCGCTACCGTGGGTAAGGCAGCGTGGGGCTGCTGTGGCCTCCACCTCCAGTGAAAGGCGTGGGCAGCAGTGAGACTGCTGGGCTTCATGTTAGTACCAGACCGTTCTACACATTTTCTTCTTTGAGAATTGGATATCTCTAGAAAAACATAAATGATAAGAATTGTGGTGTTCTGGCTCATGTTCGATGTTCATAGTGTCATCCTGTGACTTACTGCTCATTGTATAATTTGACAGCTATAAAAACACAAAAGTGTCACCTTAGGCTTATAGAGCCATTAAGCTGCTGTAAATTCTTAGAGCTAGATTCGGGAGGACATGGATTGAAATTGAACTGTGTTTTGGAAATTGCAATAGCTCTGACCAGTGACATCATTGGTATTGTAACGCAGTACACAAATGTTACATAAGAGTGCTCTTTGATAGCTGGATCATGAACAGGTGTGATCATCCCTATTCTACTGGCTACAAAAGACAGGTGTGTCAGAGTTCAAAGCCCCTCCTTCTTAGTCTGATGTCTTTTGAAAACATTAAAGATGCCTTTGTTATCTCTTGAAAGAAAAGATTCATGGTTCAGGGTTCTTTCCATTTCTCTGTGTCTTCTGTGTAACAGTGTGTTGCAAAATTTTGGATGATGGCTTGATTCCCATGAAAGATTCTGTGATATGGAAACTCAAATTCTACAGAAATGTCAGAATGAATTTGTTGTTCAAAGCATTGTTTTCAAATTCTCATGTCACCACCTCCAGTAAAAAGTGATATTGGTCATTTTGGGCGTTTGAATAAGAATGACCCCTATAGGCTCATCTATTTGAATGCTTGGTCAACCAGGGAGTTACACTATTTGAAAGGATTAGAAGAACTGAGAGGTGTGGCCTTGTTGGAGGAAGTGTGTCACTGGGGATGAGCTTTGAGGTTTCAGAAGCCTATGCCAGGCTCAGCCTCAGATTTGCACTCTCAGCTACCGCTTCAGTGTCTGCCTGGATGCCGCCATGCTCTCTTTCATGACGACAATGGGCTAAACCTCTGAAACTGCGTGAACCCCCAATTAAATGCTTTCTTTGTAAGAGTTGCTTTAGCCATGGTGTCCCTTTACCACAATAGATCACTGACTAAGCGAGGTATTTTGAGAATCCGAGGATTAGCAATACTGTTTCTCCTGTGCCTGGTGACGTGTGCCTGTCATTCTGTGGGACACTCTAGTTTAAAGATCATGGCATAAGCTCCAAGATTCTCCCCTGTATGCAAAAGAGTAAATAATTATCTACTTTGCGACTTAGTTACACTGTAGACACATTTCCCCTTAAATATCTGGATATTCATTTCCATACTTTTACATTCATTATCAGTCTTGGGACCTTTCCCAGTAACACAAGAGGAAGCAGAAGTTTTCCCTTAGGAGTTGTAATAATGGCAGCCAGTGTTTGCTGCATGTTATTTGACTGACCCATGTTAGAACTTGGGGGAAGGTATTCTTATTATTGCTATTTGGAGATGGGAACACTAAAACTAGCAAATACCACCTCCCTCACTAATGTAGGCCACTGTTTTGGAAAGTCATTTCAACATGGTTTGGTTTATCTTATGAAGACCACATCATGTCCATAAGATTAACCAGCTTCCAAAGGTCACACAGAGAGTTGGTAACAAGGTAGAAATTAGAACCCAGGCTACTAGGCTCTGGAAGTTCCAAAGTTCATGATTGTCCAAGTCCTTCTTGCCTTACAAAGAATTCACTGGGATAATTTCCAGGAGACTCAGAGTTGACCTCTTTCTGGGTGTGGCTGCCATGCATCCCTGAGAGATCTAGGGAGTCTTTGCTCTTGTGGTGTAGCTGTAGGGCTGGCTCTCTGGCCTCCTATGTCACCCCTGGAAAGGTGGTGAGGCATCTGATGCTCTGGGTTAACAAGAAAGAAACCTTGAGAGCCCAGGGAGTCACATTGTTGGACTTAACTTGACATCTTCTCCTTTAAAGATGCAAGACATCTACAAAAACCACTGCAGCTGGTGCTCTCTCCAGACTGCTTGATTTCCACACATAGGAAATAAACATGTTTATTTCGATATTGCCTGTGTCCAATGGCCATTTTACTAAAGGTGCATGTACAGGGATTGAGGTAGGGAAGAATGTAAACGATCCTTCAAATAAAAAGTCCCTTTTCTCCTTTTAGAGCCTACCAAGAAAAGGAGCAAAGGACAGACAAGGTTGCTGCTATATGTAACCAACAACCAAGCAGTAATGTCAAGTACTCTGGGCTCTAGAGAGAATGAAACAGGGGAAGGGTGGAGAAGATGACAGGGACAGCCTTTAGAATAAGAAAACCATCACAGTGGAGTAGAGACAGGAGTGGTGAGCTGTGCAGAAGAATTAGTCGAACAGTAATCCAGCAGAGGGCATGATAAATGCAAAAGTCTCAGAGCTGGAAAATGCCGGAGAGCTTGTGGCCAGAATGTAGGTATAGCAAGGGACAAAGATGCCAGGGGCTTGGGGCTTGATATGTCACCACCAAATTATTTGGATTTTATTCTAAGGATGACTGAACAACTCTAAAGCACTCTGACAGGATACGATATGATTAGGTTTGTGGTTTAGGATCTCTGTGGGGCCGTGTGTGATAGCCATGGAATTCTCAAAAGGTAGAGGTGGGTGGCAAGAATAGAAGGAGACCAACTAGGAAGCCATAGCAGGCCAAGGCTGGAGATGACGACCTACGTGGGTAGTGGCTGCACGCAGGGGACAGCGCTAGTTCAGATGGAGAGGGCCACACAAAGCCATCTACTTCCCTGTTCATTTGGATTATTTCATGTCATGACATCAGGTGTATGGGATCTGGGTTTTCTTAGTGAAGAATGGCAAGGCTCAGGTAACAGAGGGGAGCTCACATCCTGTTTGTTCAGTGAAACTCTCCATACTGTCTCCCCTCTAGCCTGTGGGTTCTCCTATGTCTTAACCAGGAATTAGAAATGATGTTATCAGACTGGGTTCTTTACAAACTGGTATGGCAAGACCATGAAAATCAAAGTGATGGTTTTAATTTTTAGTTAGCATGATTGTAGTTTTGTTCTCGACAGTTTCCCTGTTTTCTCCCGACTCAGAAAAGATTCACACTCCTTGTTCTTAAGTTTCATTGGATGCATGAACCCCACCCCAAGAATCCATTGAGAGCTTTTAAGCCCGTGATCTACCAGTATGATACAGCAATGGTGCACACATGGTATGCACATGCCACTGATGGAAAGGTTCCTGCCTGTGTTCCAGGCAACAGGCCACTACATTATCTTCATGGGCTTATTCCAGTGTAGTGAGACAGTTGGCATAGTTTATCCACTTAGCTAGATCTTACTCTCTGTCACTACCCCCAGGCTAGAGCTCTGTGCACTGTGGAAGGGCGTTGTCCATCTTTCAGAGTTCGACAGTTTCTAAGTCATTCCTAGAGGATTTCCTCAGGTCTTGAACTTCTAGGTGATGGAGCAGAACCCCAGACCTGAAATTTCCCATGTGAATGGCCATGCACACATTTTTATGGTCTGTCTTCCCTGTGGTACCATTGCCATTGTATGCATGGCATGCAGGATTAGTGGCAGCTACTTATTAGGGTGAGGTCAGAGCTCAGACATGAAGATTTGTGACCCGAGATAATTACCACATAGTTCTTTGTCTTCTATTAAAATAATAACATAAGGTGGTTATACCACTTATCTTTGCAGACTACTTCTAGAAGAAAGACAGCAATTTTAGTGATGTCATGTAGAGTACTGTGTGCCCCTCTCTGCAGCAGTATTTACCAGTGGACACCCCTTTTGGTGTGCCTTTGGTAGCTTTCCTCTTTTGGTCCATCCCTCAAACAGCACACTAGCTTCTGTCTTTCTTTTTATCTTCTTATTTTTCCCTTTAGTGGTACCAATCTAGAATATCCGATTTGAAATTCTTTATATGTATTATGAGCATATATACTCTATACTATGTACCAACACTAGTCCAACCAAAATGGTCAGAATGTTTGACAAAACCAAATGCCAAGTGGTTTTCAGAGAAGACTCTCCCATGTTGGTAGTGGTAATGGTAACTAGCCCTCCATCACATGTTAGTAGTGGTAATGATAACTAGCCCTCCATCCCATGTTAGTAGTGGTCATGGTAACTAGCCCTCCATCCCATGTTAGTAGTGGTAATGGTAACTAGCCCTCCATCCCATGTTAGTAGTGGTAACTAGAACTTCAGTCTTCATTATACCTGCCACACATCAGGCCTGCTCCTCTTTCTGGAGTTTTCTAGTGTTCATTACCATCATTGTGGGTACCATTGTGGGGAACGTGCAGTGTCCCAGGCATTGAGTTAAGTGAGTGTTTTATCTCCTTCTCCACATGAGAGACTTAAGAGAACAGGGGACTTAGCTAGCTGTGCCGTGTGTGTGTCACACCCTTCTGCACCTGAACGTTTCCCATCAGGTATATTTGGAAACCTGGTTATATGTAAGGCATGGTTCTGGTCACTCAGGAAAGAATAGTTAACAAAGAAGCCATGATGCCTGCTCTTTTGAAGGACAATCTGAATAAAGAAAACATATAAACAAACCACAAAGCTTACCCAATGCTGATTAGAGTCTAGAAAAGTCAAGCCAGTGATGTGTTTGACATAAACAGTGTCTGAGATGAAATGATTACAGGATGT